AGTTGGAGTTGGAGTAGGAGTAGGAGTAGGAGCAGGAGCAGGAGCAGGAGCAGCAGCAGCAGGGGCAGCTGCAGCCACAGCCGGGACACAGGAATGTTCCCGTTGGTTTCATTTTCTTCAGGCATTTCTGTCGATTCGACTACAAAAAATCTGGGTTGTGTGGATACCGCATCGATTCCTCAGTTTCCTGCCGCTGTAGCAGCTCGTTACGACGAATTCGTTGTGTCTCGGTGTGGCAACATATGCAACATAGAGGTCCGAACAGTTAATCTAATTATAGTCGTTAGTATACGTATACGATGTGCCCTACGAAAATTTGGCAGGCCCCTCCACAAACCCCATTCTGATTCTTAAGGCCCCAACCAAAAAAATCTATTTAAGGAGGCCCCAATACCAGAGACAGCTAGAATCGTGTCGGCGGACAGGCTGCGAAGATGAGGCAGATGAAAAGGCCAAGTGGCTCATGTCGTTTAGGGGTTTAGGAGTTTAGGGGCTCATTTTGCTGTTATTGATTGTGGTTGCTGTCATTGTTTATAATGGTTAATGATTGTGGTTACTGTCATTGTTTATAATGGTTAAGAAAGTTCTGCTAGTTACTAAAATTCGTAAAGATTCGTATTATTATGATGTTTATACATGCCATCACTGCAATTACTACTAGCCGTGTTCCCTGTTACCATTGTTGAATTACTATGCACCTGCCCCACTCCTCCTCCGGTCGAAGATGAAAAGCTCTAGTCGAAAGCAAAACAGCAGCTTTTTGAGGTTGTCACCATTGAAGCAATCCCCTCAGCGTACCATTAGTTCCTTCGCAATCAGCGATGACCTACCGCGTTCTGGTGGGGGGAGGTGGGAGTCCGCCTTCCGCAGACTGCAGAATCAGGGAGAGGTCGGAAGCCCGGGCGTGGCTTAGAGGCTTAGAGCGTTCCTGACAGTCGGGCTTCCAGATCAAGGTATTCTAAGGTTTGGGAGTCAGGGTTTGGGGCTGTTTTGGGCTTCGGCAAGTTTAGGCTAGGTGCTATAGTGGTTCAGCAAGAGCAACTTTTGATCTCCAAACCACTGAAGGGCCGCAGCCATAGCTGTCGCTTATGACCGTGTCAACGCTGGAAGTCCTTGGTAACTGAAGTTGTCGCAGGTTGGACTTGAACGAAGCCTCCTCCAGAACTCTGGATGTGTCAGCTCTGCTGGACGATTTGATGCTCAAGCCCTAGTCGGTTGTCGTATCGTAGGGCTATTCGCAGAATGGATTCTCGTTTTCAGCCGTGGTGCGGAGAATGCGCCTGCGAAACCACTGTGAACGAGGAAATGCAGTGGACAAGGTCTAGGTTTTCCGTAGAAGATGAGCGCGACAGCATGACATCGAGCCAAATGCTGGGAGATGTTGCTGGTCGCAAGTCTGGCCTAGACGCGTCGGGGTGCAGTATTTGCGTCAGTCCACAGCGGCCGGATGCTCTGGTCGAAAACAGAATTAGTCAGAGAGTTGGGCCGTACCTCGAAGTGGAAGCTGAACTTCTTCGCGGCGTGCCACTCTGCAAGACCCTGAGGGGCATGGGTTGGATGTGGCGAAGGAGCCCGCACAGCGTTCCGGAGGAAAAATGGCAATTCCTGTGGCAAAGCTTGCGGCCTGTCAACACCTATGATGTTTTCATCTCCCATACATGGAAGAGCTCAGGGTTGTCGAAGGTACTTGCTCTTCTCTTGAGCACAGGCTGGCACAGCGCTCTTGCCTTCTGGCTGTTGGCTATTCTAGTCATTGTCACCTTGCAAGTATGTTTTCCCGATTTGGACAATCACAAGCCTTTCGTTCTCAGCAAGCGCATCATGAACTTCGAAGAAGCGTGTCCACTTGCACCATGGGCTGTGATTGCAACCCCCTTGGCGATGACCCTGGGCGTGCTGCTTGCGCCGTATCTCCCCCAAAAGCTGATGAAAGAGGGTACGTGCTTCCTAGATGCTGGGCGTTCCTTAAGAATCACTTTCAATCAGCTCTAGCCTTTGTAGCTAAGTTTCCTGTAAGTTGGTCCGCGTTTTCGAGCTAGGCAGAACCATGGTTTAGGATTCCTTCCGGGTTTGTACGACAAGGTCTCAGGATTCATGGTACTTCACGGGTACTGGGTTTAAATTTAGGGTTTGGGGTTTAGATCGCAGACCTTATTCGCAACTGGCAGTACCGACATGTGTGACTGCCATCCTTCCATGCCCGTGACATCTCTGATACGTGTGGTTTCAGCAACAGTGGCAGTCATTAGCATGTGTTTCGTCTTGCATGGAACGATGCCTGCCTTGTGCTTATCAAATTCTCACGGTATGCTTCCAACACTCGTGCAAACAAGTATGGGCTATACAAGCATACATGCATGCATGCCTACAAGCATACAAGGATAGACAGATAAGTGGGGAGACAAACGGATGAATCGGTCCCTAGATAGACAGTCAGAATATTTGTCTCATTTGCGCTCATGCGGTGTTTGCTTGATTGCTTGCACTCACAACTACAGGTGGTCGAACAGAAGGGTAGACCACAAAAATCGAAGGCAGTGCCAATGGGCATGTACTGCAGGTGCCTTACAGTATGCGTTGTAGAAGCACATGAAGACCTGCACACAGATGCAGATGCATACACGAACGCACAGATACTTCTGCATGTTTTCGAGTTGCGAGCAGGGTGGGTACAGCGAGGGTCTTGGAGAGGTCTATGTCTTTCAGATTCGCGTTGTACCAGTAGTTCACAGTCGCTGAAGGACTTGCCAGGAGTGAGGACATCTTGGGGCCAAGCATTTTCCTCATCTATCCTTACGGTTATTCACCCTGCTGGGGCTCGGACTAGGGGTTTCCATCAGACATGAATCTTCGACGTTGGAGCTCCCCAAAATCAGTCGCAAGAAGATTCGGTCTTTTGGACTGCGGTGTGCAGCTGGCTTTGTCCGGATGCGACCCGCATGAAGTGAAGAGCGCCTGCGTCAACTGAGGATGTCGCTTGCATCCATCAAGCCGACCCAGCCCTCAAGGAACGTGGGATTTATGGCATCGGTGGTTTCCTGCAACATGCGGCTTGTCTCTAGAGGTCGTGTCTGACAACATGGGGTCGTAGATAGGACCGGAGACTTAGAGGCGACTCATCGCGTGCCAACCGAGGCTGCAGAGCTCCGAGTACTGTGGACTCCTCCTTACCTTACACGCTTGTGGTGAACCTCGGCGTATTTTTGGGCTTCGTTGGGGGCTTTGGTTGGGGGCTTTCTCTTGCCGGAGCCGTGCCGGATGGAGCTGGGATTCGTATGAAAACATGACAAGTCTCATGTGGACCTGGCGTGGCCAGACGAAGCGATCGAAGGAACAGACACGAAGACAGACCGGAAACGGACGGCAACAAGCTACATTCAGCAGGGTCGGGGAGGATCCACACTTAAGCTCTCCAAAACAGGGGAAGAACGCCGCACTCCGCATTTGCTCTCGGGAGGGAAGCAGCGAGAGAGACAACGCCATACAGGTACGTAAAGTTTCCTGCGACAGATCCGAAGACGTCACCATTACATATGTATACATATTATCATTACTACTAAGACGATTGTTTTTGTTGTTGTTTGATTCCAAACAACAAAAAAGTCTCTGAGTAAAACTGAGCTTGCCGGCTGTTTTTAGGACTTGAGGAAATACGAAGGATTGCATTTCCAGTTTGGTTGTGCTGCTCAGCACTCTTCCCAAAGCGGGTCCGGGCTGCGATGGCTCGTAACAGTGCCGATCATCTCGCTGAGGCATTTTCGAACTCGCGGCCTATCGCGTGGCCAACCCGACAGGGACACTTGCGCTTAAAGCAGTGCCTTTTGGAGCATCCTTGGCTGTGCTGTTTTGGTCAAGCAGGCAGTAGTTTTTTGTTGTTTTCTGTACGTGCCCTGCGAGCTTCGCGTGCCAACCCAGGCGGATCACTTTAACACCAATTTTCATTGAGCACTCCGTGCTTTTCTTAGCACCTGCTCTCTGGGTTGCGTCCTCGTGCTACTGGGCGGCGGCTGCATCCGGCCTCAACAAATATGGCTTCATTCTGGGCGAGGCCCTTCCCATAGGAATTGCTCTGATTCCACTTGTGGGCTTTGTCCAGGGCCTGCGGCGGTTCTTCTGCGCAAAGCATAAGCTCTTCGAAGAGCTCAGAGCATTCAAGCTGGCATCGGCTGAGTGCAGCGAGCTGTTCGACCAAATCTTTGTGATTTCTGCGATCCAGAAATGGTATGGCAGCGCCGAGGAGTTTGAGAAGTTCGTGCAGGGAACCCTCTGTTCCGAGATGTCAAATATTCAAACCGTGGATGTTCCATTGCCATACTGCCTCCTCCTTACCGCGTTCCCAGTCAGCGCTACGATTGATGAGAGCTTGGCGCTTTGGGCTGGTGGTGCTCCCATGCCGGTGGTGTCTTTGGCAGGAATAGCAGCCTTGAGACCGTCTCGTATTCCATAACCCAGTTAAGTACATCAGTGCAGGTTCAGCTACTGTAGGTTTCAAGATGGCAAGCATTCTTGCACGACTGTGTTCTGCTGCACCAGAAATCCCCCAGTGGCTGTTTGGGATTGAGGTGGCTTCAAGCCTGATTGGACATGTGTACGGCATATGTGTTTGTTGGTGCCTGGTCAGCTTCAAGCTTTTGTACTACCTCTGCGATCGCTTCGCAGTGGCCAGACACACCGGTTTCGCTGACTACTTGCAGCCTGGCACGACATGAGCTTAACTGTTATCAGTCTTCCTACTGTCAGCTATTGTCATGATTGTTAAGATTCCTCCTCTTAAAAGTCTTGCTGTTTCAGTTCCACTACCAAAATCTGGCTGATTGAGTTCCTCTACAGGACTGGGAGACATGTTGGCTGGCAAGACAGGTAGTAGCAAGAGACCCTTGAAACTGCATTCTGAAGAAGTGCAGCAAGGGCAAATCGGTTAAACGCAGTCCGAGCTTTGCATCGATTGCTGGTTGCCCGCTCAGGCAAACTCTACTCATTTACTTATCATTCTCTCTGTTCTTCCTCGTCGGAAGCTACACAGGCCCTGGTGCAAGAAACAACCAACGACATAGGGACATATAGAGTTTAGGGGACTGTTTTTAGGGTGTACTGTCCTGACTTGGGCAAAGGGTTGAAGACTGCGAGCTTCGACAGGTGAGCTGGCCTACCGTCATAGCCTGGAGACCGCCATTTGCCATGCTTGACTCCTGGCTCAATGTGGAAAAGTTCCTTTGTGCCGTTTGCGCGCGTCCGGTTTCACCTTTTCGTAAGCCCCTAAACCGCCTAAACGCTGCAAACCCTAGGCATTTGCACACTGGTTGCTTGCTGTGCGTGTGGCTGGACTTGGATCTCTGAACGGCTCTCCGAGTTGAAAGGACGACCTGTCGTCTCCTAAGTTTGGAGACTTGAGAACAAGCCAGGCCTGTGTTTGGTGGGAAGTGGTACGCCCTTTGGGGTGAGTTCGCAGATTTGCAACCAACGGAATGATGACTGTGTATTTTTGCTTTATAAGGTTCTGTGCCTCTTCCGCAAGCTTCTAAGAAGCCTTGGCAAACATGCACAGGGGCAGATCGTTTATTCATGCTGTCCAACTAGCCTGATGAGCGCTGAATGATCGAAAAAGAATTGGTACTCGTGAAACGCACAAAGAATGTGCTATCACGACCTGCCCAAGAGCACCAAGAAATCAACGGACGTTATCCTTGTCAGAACAGAAGAGCAAGCAAGCTGTCCCGTGTAGGTAAGCGATGGTAGGAGCATCCTCGTGCGATTCTGGCCTGGGTCGTTACTCATAGTGTGGTGCGACTATATTATATCATATTAGATTGCGAGCTGGAGGCTTGTCCCGTGAGGTGCACTGCGACTCCTTGCTGCAAGCCTTGGAACTCGCGGGCTTCACGATCCTGCGCCAAGCCTGGTTAGACGAGGACAGCAAAAGATCCGTTGCTCCGCCTCACGCTTGAGATCTGATGACTAGATCCAATTAGCTCCCTATCACTCCCCCAAAGCCTAAGCCCGGCCTAAGCTTTTCGAAAATTATCAGTGGCAGAGTTGACAGGTGGTGAGCCAGATCACGAGGCTGCGGGTACTCGCAAGAAGTTTGCACAATGCGAAGATGGCATTGACTAAGTTTGCTGGCTCAGGGTACGGGATGTCTATTTCTGCACTGGCTGGTTTTTCAGGTTGAAGTTCTACGTTGCGGACATCGATGATGATGATGGTGATGTTGGCACTGGCCAGGTTGACTCAGCAGCTGCGGCTGCTGCAGATGCTAAACAGATGGTGACGGTGAGGGCGATGCCAGCGCTATTGATGATGTCCCGATGAGTTGCCTAATGGCGGGTACCAGTCCATTTTATGTTTGCGTGGTGATTAATCCTTACGATGAGACAAGAGGTGTCATCATGAAGGTGACGGCCTGTGCGATGATACTTCATTCCTGCCGCGAAGCTTATGTTTCCTCATTGCTATTGTCCGTGGCTGCTGGTTGGTCACAGTGAGTCAGTGAATGGCCTGAACATGCAGTGGCTGATGACGATTTGCATACTCATTCCCACTGTACAAATCTTCGCCAACGTTTGCTACTGGGTTACCGCTTACAGTCTAGAGTGTGTGAACGGTTTCGTTTTAACCGGGGGCATGCAAGTGGTCTCCTTTAAAGCAGGTCTCCGCAACGGGTTGCAATTGGTCTCAGAAGGATGCACGGGATCTTGTCAAATCGGGTTGTCTTACCGACAGTCATTCCCATCATGACCAATACATCATCATAGCCTCACATGCGTCAGTGGCAGATACAACTCGTTGGACTTGGACGAGTTCCTACAGATGCTGCACATGTACGAGGACACCGCTTTCATTCTGTGGACCTGGCTTTAAAAGGGATTAGAGATCATTAGGGTTTGAGGGTCACGTCTCTAGCGACCGGAGTTCCGAAGTGACCTCAAGCTGCATCTCGTCAGGAGAGACACTATGCAGAGTTCACGAAGGTATTTGAGCACTTCGACGATGACCAGAGTGGCACTCTGGAGGCAATGCTGAGATGATTCACGGTCAAGCCTGCACCACACCAAAAGCGGTGCCCTGCAGGTGGAACCGGGCAAAGGCTGTGATGTTCAGCCACTCCTTGTACCGATAGCGCACATGGCCAGCACACTGCACAACTACTAGAAGGCCCCATAAACTACAGGCATGAAGCGCACCCCTTTACGAGTAGTGACAAGAAGAAGCTCGGGGGGTCTGCAGTGCAAGAACTAGAGCACAAATTCCCTCGAAGATGGTTAAGACATGTAAATCCACATGTAAATCATGCTAGTTAAGAATTAGTACTACCATGTAGTAGAGAATGCGTTGGACAGGCCCACGAGCTCGCCAACTTGCTAGAGCAGTGCGGGATTACGGCCTTGGACCAGGCAGGTGTGGTTATGGCTCTTTGAAAGCGTTTAGGGGTTGGGGCTTAATGTGACAATGTGGGTTGAAAGGAGCCTGCAGGATGCAGAAGCTTGAATAGTCAGTAGTGACATTATATCGACTTCTGGTCATGAGCCCTGAACCCCGGACCCGTGAACCCTATCCTGTACAACCTGATAGAATGTGATATATCATCGGATAGTCTAATATGGCAGACCCCAAACCCTACACCCTAAACCCCATAATTTAGTGTGGGCCTCTGTGTGGTTGGGGCAGGTCCTCAAGGAGATCATGGTCGAGGTCTGGCGCTGAAGTCCTCCTTTAGGGTGCTTAGGCCTTAGGCCTTTGGGGGTTCGGATTTAGGGTTTAGTGTGGTTTTTCCGTTTAGGAATCAGCGTGCTTCGGGCTTCTTGGGCTAAGGATTTAGGGTGTTCAGGGTTTCTTCAGGCTGTCACGCCGGTGTTCGTTTTGCATGCCAAAACAGCGAGTTTTGTCCGAATCTCCTTGCGATCTGGTCCCGAACTTTAGGGCGCCGTACGAAGAGTAGACGAATTATATAATATATAGGGTTTTCTAAAGGACCATGATGTTTTGGCAGTTAAGCATCTTTGCCTCATGAAAGTACGAGGATATACTACTGTAATCTACCATGGTAACCTATAGTATACTATAGTGTACTATAATTCTGTCGAAGATCTGGCATGCACACCGGCGAGCGAAAAGTAGGAAACTAGGCAGTGCTTGGCTGCTTGGCCACGCCCCAAGGTTGCTCCTGCTGATCCGGGCTCCATCACAATGGAAGAGTTCAAGCGCGGAACCCCAGACACGTAGACACGACCGCGTTTAGCATTGACTTGAGCTGTCGATGCAAAGATGCCAGGTTGCTGACCAAAACCTCTGTAGAGCTTGCAGGAGCTATGTTCAGAGTTTTAGCTGACAGGCGGGTCATCGAGATCATCCATGTCAACGAGGCACAAACTGCTCTGAGCCTGTAACCAAAAGCACGCGCCCACTGCAACCAAAACTTGGTATTCGCGAAAAGCAAAAAGACACCAAGTATTGCCAACTTGCTACAGAATCTGCCGCCAGACGAAGAAACTTGACGCGTTGCTCCACCGAAAGGGCACTGCATGCCTGTAGCTTACAACTACGCTACTTACTGCAGCGAAGGATAAAGACATTCTTTCAGGCTCGGATTTTCTCTGGCCCTGTTCTGTTTCGCGCTTGAGTGGAAGACTCGGGGCAAGGAGGCAGACAAAGGCCGTAGAATTCCGGAAGCCCTCGTCCAGCCGCATACGCAGTCCACAATCCCCTTTTGTTAAACTTGTATTGTACGAGATCTAAATGGTTTTTTGCAAGAGATCTTCGGCTAAGTTCACCGCGACGGGCGAAGTCAACTTTCACGCACTAGCCTCCGAGACATCCACTGTTCGGCTTGCCAGGGATTTTCCTCCCGCGAAATCATCAAGCTCAAGGAAGGGTTCACAACAAAGGGATCGGGGGGAAGACGTGCTCGGGTCTTGGGGCCCAGAGTGTGGCAGCTGATCTGATCGGAGGGTTTGCTTTGCAGTTTCGTCGTTTTTGCCTGTCTAGGCAGACGGCCCGCGCTCGATGATGGCACTGGATTCATCATGCCTACACCACGTATTCGCTAACTTTGCAACTGTCTGAGACAGAGGGGCAACCAGAAAAGGCCTCAACTCTATCCTTCATCTCCCCGCGCAGGAGGTGTTTCGCAAGTTTGACTTGGACAGGCCTCAGATGCCTGGGCAAACTGCAGGTCAAAAAAAGCCCATTTTTTGCCTCTCAGAGCTCTATCGACAGGGGTGGCACTATGGACACCAGCGAGCTTCACAAAGCGATGGCATGGCTCGGCCACGGCCTGACCAAGGAGGTGACGACGGGGGCTCCCGTGGGTTCAGAAATCAGAATGGGCACAGCTGCATCTTTGAGTCTTGACTTGCAGGCTGTGTAGGCCATTTGCTCTCGTCTCCTAAACGTGTTTGTCTGTTTTCGGCTGAGTGCATCTGTGCAAAACAGCTCGGTCTTCGACGTGCGTGTATTGCAATGTTGCTTGCTTCTCCATGTCTGGGGACCGTGCAGAACTCCAAAGCATCGTGGCTGCTCGTCTTTGCTTGGTGATAAGCTGCAGCAGTTGGCAAGTTTGCCTGTTGACGACATCCTTTGCCAGGCATGCGCGCATTCCGAAATTCCGTGCGATGGAACAGCAGATGTCTGACAAGCCATGACGCAATGGGGCACCACGAGCTCGTCATATCGATAACTAGCCCACCGTCATGCAAGCAGTGACGACAAACGCCACAAGTCAAAACTCGAGGGCTGGGGCGAGCCAAAATCGAATCAAAAGAAGCAACAGGTTGAGTAAGGAGGAGAGCAGCCCGAAGCCACAGGAGACCAACGTCTGCGCACGAGCATGCAATGTGTTACACAGGCCCCAGACCACGCAAAACTGGGGACTGAAAGGACGACGACATGACTAGGACCATGAGGCCATAGAAGCAAATGGGCCAAGGCATTCTGACATCAGCGCAGTTTAAGTTTCCAAAACGATGGGGCATAGATGGATTACATGTTAGTACTTGAGCAGTCCTACATCTCCGTTCGGAGACGAGCGCGGTCCTGTGCCAGGAGGTGCAGCTGATCTCGGACAGCTGCGATGTCGGAGGCGCAAGACGATCTCAGCATGTGGCAAGCTGGAGGGTCCTCGGCGGTTTCTCGGGAAAGCTAGAAGGGCCAGCTTGCCAGTTCAAACAGAGCCCTCCTTCACCGGACAGGTAAAGGCGTGCTTGAGGAGTGCGAGTTCTTCGGCTTCATGCGAAAGGTCAAGGAGAAGGAGGCACTGCGATGTGCACTCTTGGGGACATCTCGGGGGGCTCTAGGGATTCGAGATGCAGGCGCTGGTTGCCCTTTAGACTCCCCGGGCCCCATTCTTCAAGACGGTTTCATGGGAGTGTCATTGCTGGGCTGCAGCTCCAATCAGAGTTGCTCCATGTGCATGAGACGATGTGAGATTCAGGTTCGATATCTTCGGGAAGTGAGAGTTGGCGGAACGAACATGATTCAGCCTGCTTCCCGTCCAGGATCCCCTATAGTCCATAGAAAGATATGTCTACTAGTAGGGCAGACCCCAAAACTTGATTCGAATTTGTCCACAGTCAAGATGTCTGAAAAGGCAGTTGTCTCACGGCAACAGCCTGCCGTTTGTCTGTCAACCGATCTCTGATCTGCAGATCCTCATGGTGAAGCGGGAGCTGAAGAAACAGCGCCCGGTGGGCGGTGCTGTGCCGCACAGCTGAAGACTGGTAGTCGAATAGGAATCTGGGATTCGTACGGGCTTCATTGTCTGAGAAGCTACATTTGAAATCTCTAAATTAGCACGTTCATGAGGCTAGCTGCTAGCTACTATGTATGAGTGTGTGTTTATGAGAAGCCGAACCTCATCAGGTACATGCAGAAACAGCTGGATCGCGTGCTGAGGACAGGATGCTTTGTAGCATCCATAGCTGCCTCAGCATGATCGAATCGTTCCATTCCAGGGCCTTGGGCTACATCCCCAACGCTCAAGCCATCCGCGATGCTGCTGAGGAGAGGCTTTCAAGTTTTTGCTCGAGCATGACTTAAAGGATCTACAAGCACCCGGCATGCCAGCTCTGGCAGAGTTGTTGCTCAACAGCGTGTCGCGGGCCCTACCCCAGATGCACCATCTGACGATAAGTCAGCGCCCGAGCAGCAACAGCCCAGAAGACTTGGAGCCCTTCGCAGGGACTGACCTATGTTTAAAAAACAGTCTGCCTGCAGGATGCTGCCATCATCCGCCGGAGCTCTCAGAAGTTGCTGGGTGATTGGCCTAATCCCTCTCTCTTACTACTCCCCTTGCGTCTACCTGTAGTACTACTACAACAACAGCAACAGAAACAGCAACCACCACAACAACAACACCACCACGGACCACCACGACGAGGACAACGACGACGACTACTACAACTACTACCACTCTACTACTAGTACTACTACGACTACTACTGCCACTACTACTACCACTGCTGCCACTAGTATTACCGATAGGAAGAGTACTTGTACCACTACTACATAGCTGCTACCACCTCCAGATATTCCCTTCTATCCGCAGCCGAAAATAACTATTACTACTGCTGCTGTTGCTCCCTCCGCGGCATTGCTCTGCGCTGCAGCTGTTGTGGTGCATGCTGCTGTTGTTGCGACACTGCTACTACTGCTACTACTAGTATGATTACTACTACTACTACTACTACTACTACTACGACCGGAGTAAGACGAATCAAGTTATTGGCCGAATATGTGGCCGGAGAAAGAATATTGTGGCTAGGAGAAGCGAAACAAGTGCGTTCCATGGCTGCTTGGGTCCCTTCGGGGATCATCCGATAAAGC